AAATACCATATGCCTTGTCTCGAGCTGTGGAACAGAGGCACATAAAAGGCAAATATCCGTCATAACTGAGCTGTTGCGAAGTAACATCCACTTGAAATTTGTCCTTTGCTCATCAATATCTACTTGACAGTCCAGCCTCATGTTCTTGGCAAGTTTTTGGAAAAAATGTATTATATAGACACCGCAGTTATGGTTATGCTTATTTTTTTTATACCTCAAAAATGTTGACAGTCTTTCACAATAAGTATTTTTGAAGAGTAACTCATTACCCATGGGATCAAGAAACGTCACTAAATTTTCGGTGATAGAGAAAATAAGTAATGTGTAATGATTATTTTGGAGAAGTGGCATAACTATCAAATCTTTGGTGAACGTAACGCTTTCAACGAAAGAAATGGGATAATTGTTGTTAGAAAATATTATCGATGATTTCGAAACTGAAACGATTTGGAATTTGTTGCCGCTGGATCTATTGATTGTGTGCAGGCAGTGATCTACGACGAAATCACTTAAATACTGCCTATCATCCAGTGTAGCAAAATCGTCCTGAAGCAGCTCTTTAATTGAAAAGTACAGATCCCTGTTTACTAATACTACGTAACCCCTTTTATCCTGCAACTGTCGGTAGAAATAAATGTTTTCTACCAAACCGTTATCCATAACTTTTATTGATTCGGCAGTTGTCCACTTCCTTTGTGACTTGGATAGGTTTGAAAAATTTAGAACAGAAGGTAATAGATGGAACAAGTAAAACGTTCTCAATTTTTTAAGCATTATCGTCCAAAACTTTTTATTCCTGGTCACTCGCAGGACTTTGACACCTTTGAACGTATAAATGACTAAATCGCACCAAGACTGATCAGTTATTTCAAGTAAACTCTGTATTTGGTAATGGTAATTATGTATCCCTCGAACAGATTCTCCATTCTTATTCAGAAAGTCGAAATCATATTTTTGGGGATTGAAATTTCGAGCATTGCACGGGCATTTTACCTCTACAATACCGTCTTCTCCTACAAGCCCATCTGGTGAAGCAGCAAGATAAGGGTACTCACGGTGTATCATCAAGCCAGCCGTAGAACAGTGTACGTTCATTTGTTTTTCGTACAGTTGTATGGCGTCTTTCTCATATTTGAGACCGTGAGTAGTAGCTGGAGTTCTTATACTGTTTCCACCTCTAATCGCAGCTACTATGTTAGCGTACGGGTTTTCATCCCTTACCTTGCAAATTCTTCCGAAATACGACGAGGTAACTCCGATTTGTCTTTCTTCCTGACATCTTATACTGTTGCTTTGAAGGCGTGTATCGCGTTCTATCATAGAAATCCGTTCTGGGGATAACTTTATGGACTCTAAGTGTTCCTCACAGCTCTGACAGATATCGCTCGAATGGGATATTTGAGGAAGCTCTGATGTGCATATCTTGCATGTGAAATTGAATGTTTCCATATCGACTTTGTTTTCCAATTTCAAACAATATTCATGTACCCATTTCTTACATGCAAAGCACTGGACCCAATTAGTGACAAGGTCCGTAGTACCATGGCCACAATAAATAAATGCATTGAGTGAAATCGTAATCGTCCTCGGAAAAAACGCAGTCCTGAATGGCGATTTTATTATCTTTGTCGCGATTTACAATAGCTGATTTTAAATATGTACCACTAAAGTGAGATGTGTGATTTATTCTCCGTCTATTCCAGGCTCCTGTGAAAGTTTTTCGTTTGAGTTATCTTTGCTTCTCGCAAGGCGTGTCTTAGATACTTGAAGGTTACTCTCCTTGCTCAAAGACTGCATATCTCTTCTCAGTATCCTGACAAATTCTGAACATTTCAGATTGCGCCTTTCATTGAGAGAGTTTTGTTTCAACTGTCCGAAATAGTTTTCGACATAAGCGTTGCTTAACAGAGGGCCACTTTCTATCATCAATTTCGACCAAAGCGGACAATATGGCATGTATTTTTTTGCAACAAGTTGTAGCATATCTTTATTGAAGTATTCACTTTTGTTATCCCTCGGAGCAAATGTAATTGAGATTTTTTGAGTTAAAGATAAATATCGCTTATAAAAAGGACTTGAAGTATAAATTACTTCATCAGATATTTGGTGGTCGATTTCAATAGCATTTTCAATGTGAATGAATTCATTGATACTTTCAGGCTGGAATTCATCTGCTGCCTTTTTGAAAAATAGTTTCAATCGTTCAACTAAATGACTATTGTATTGGGAGTTCAAGATAATATAGGTATTACAAACGAAATCATCAAAATCGTTGATGTTATGAATGGATAAGCCACCTGCCAGCATATCTTTGAAATATCGACGCTGTGTGTCATTTTTCGCTATGCGGTCAACATCATGACATATCATTTTTATAAAATGAGCACAGCACAAGTATATTTTAAAGTCACTATTATCTGTCGATTTTCCTTCTATGGCTTTATCGTAACATAACTGAATATATTCCGATATAGTACGTATGTTAAAGGCTTTGCAAATAGCATGCACATTTGCAAATGAAAAGTCGGTGACGACACCCGATAACGCTGGCCAATCATTTCCTTGGGGGTGAAAATGAATTTTTTAGCATATTTTTTTATCTGCCAGCCTTTCAGAAGCTTTCTCACACCATGCGACCCAGTCTATAAATTGTCTCTATAATAGAGTATTTTTTTGAGGTACAACTGATTTTGGGGAATCATTTTCTTGGGGTGAAAATGAATTTTTTAGCATATTTTTTTATCTGCCAGCCTTTCAGAAGCCTTCTCACACCATGCCACCTAGCCTATAAATAGTCTCTATAATAGAGTAATTTTTTGAGGTACAACTGATTTTGGGGAATCATTTCCTTGGGGATGAAAATGATTTTTCTAGCATATTTTTTTATCTGCCAGCCTTTCAGAAGCTTTCTCACACCATGCCACCTAGCCTATAAATAGTCTCTATAATAGAGGATCTTTTTGAGGTACAGCTGATTTTGGGGAATCATTTCCTTGGGGGTGAAAATGAATTTTTTAGCATATTTTTTTATCTGCCAGCCTTTCAGAAGCTTTCTCACACCATGCCACCTAGCCTATAAATAGTCTCTATAATAGAGTATTTTTTTGAGGTACAACTGATTTTGGGGAATCATTTCCTTGGGGGTGAAAATGAATTTTTTAGCATATTTTTTTATCTGCCAGCCTTTCAGAAGCTTTCTCACACCATGCCACCTAGCCCATGAATTGTCTCTGTAATAGAGTATTTTTTTGAGATATAAATCATTTTGGGGAATGATTTTTTTGGGGGTGAAAATGAAGTTTTATTTATATTTTTTCATCTAGCACCCCTTTAGAGATTTTCTCAGTATATGCTATTTAGTTCATTAATTACTTTCAATACAGTAATCGGTAAGTGAAAATTCGAAGAAAGGTTTTGGGTTAACTCTTGTTCCTGCCAATTATTTAATTAGGGTGGAAAATGATTCTTCCTATAGGGGTGCTTATTCTCGTGCATATATATTTATTGTTGCGAGCTGTTAGCTGTATCCTTCACAATCACAGTCTGGTCGAGGATGTCGACGCCACTGGTCATTCGGGTATCTTCGGCAAATTGTCCGTTAAATTTTGTCTGCCAACTTCACACCGGTTGATTGACCGGGGAAGAATTAGGTTTGACGGACACCATCGTTCATCAGGTCAAGAACAACTAGGTGTTACATCACGATACGGCTCCTTGTTACGCAGCAAGGCCAATAAGCGGGTAGAAACATTCATGTGGGTCCTTAGCCTACTAATTCACCTGACCTGAGGCCTTGTGACTGTTTTCCAGAAGTTGAAAACTCACCTCCAGGGAACTCATTTTGGAACGGTCGAAAACATTCAAACGACCAGCTGAATGCTATTCCAGAATCGGAGTTCCAGCACTATGTGATTTTAGGGGGAAGTTATATAAAATTGTAATTATATTTGAACAAGAAATTTTCAAAAAATCAGTTTCATCACTTAATTTACAGACCTCGTAAAATATGCAGGGTGTGGCAGAAGTGCCGGAACGGCTCGATAACTATTTGGGAAGGCATTTTAGGAAAAAACGCTACTAATAGAAGTTGTAGAATTTTACCTTAGCTACCTTGGATGTGACATTTACCTTGGCCGTGACCTTGGAAGTCGACCTCAAAATTTTAGCTGTACTTTTGATCCCGTTAGTAAAATAAGCATTACATGTCGTTCTTGTTATGGGATCCACCTTTAAATGTCTTACAATTACATGAACGTGCTTTGAATCCATGAAAAAAGTTTAGCTTCAACGAATTAAGGATGCTTAGTATTGGGTATAGGTTTGGTATTTTTCTTTTGTTTTTACAGATAATACGATTTTTGTTAGGTATTATATGCAATTTACTTGTGCGAACAATTTAAAACTTCAACTTTAACTTAAATACTTCATACACGAGCACAATTGACCTCTATGTTAGGGAAAAGCCTGGAAAAAGGTGCAATTGTAGAGATGCTAAGATATTCAGACAGCTCCACTGATTTTTTTTTCAGATAAACTACGTTTTGCGTTTTTTACCACCTTATACTCATTATTCAAAAACTTAGAAAAATGTATGAACTAGGAGAGAATTCAGTATACTAAAAAAATGTTAACTGTCAAGATACGCAGGCTACCAAAATCAACTTTGATACGTACCCTCTGCTGGTACCATATACAACCCATTATTAGCTTTCTATGAAAGTATTTTATTCAGACGCACGGTTGGGACAACGTATACAATATTCAAAGTACTTGGCAGCATGTGAGGGCACGAATTTTTATTGGCAATTACATTTTTTCAGGAATACGGTGGTCTAATCTAAGGTTTCACCTATGAAGATATTCCCAAAGGTTCTACAATATAAATTCGAGTAATAACCACGGTACGTTTATTATTATAATATCTTGTTTTTAATCCATGACTAATTCTATGATCATGTTGTGATGACCTTTGTCTAAAGTTGCTATGGTGTATAAAAATTAAAAATTGAAATCGTGTAAATAACGATTTTCAGTCCAGATATCAGCTTATTATCATCTTCCACGGCGGTATATATAAAACCATGATCCTAGCTCCGGACTGGTAATTAGTCTGAGAAACTAAATCCGCCAGCATGTTCAATACTATAATATTATTCTCAGCAATCGTTGTTGCAGTATTGGGTGCCTGCGACAACCCAACTTCAGTAGCTGATCTTGACAGGAAACAGGTGAGCATGTAGCCTAGCATTAACCTTCCACCGTGCTTCTGTTTGCAGTGCTCAAGACTGCTAGGTCATATACTTAAGTTTATATAATCTGAGTACAACTGTAAGTGGAGTGCTCTTAAGTTTAAATCTCGGGTTTTATTCATAAATTTTTGAGATTTTTTGTGGTTTGCACTTAAAATACCATGTACCAAGGAGTTTACCTGCCAATTTATTACAGGTATTGATTTTGTGGATTGTTTTCAGTTTTTTAATTTAGTTTATATACGTATACGGTAATTTCGGCTCATAATACATTAGCTGATATAACTCATTAAAGTGAACAAAATGTTAGTTTGTGTTTTACGGCTTCCTTACTGAGACACAGGGTGATCGGCTCCATATCTACTAATGTTGACATTTTCAATTTCTGACATATTACTCCAGTTAGTTATATGAAACTCTGTGAATCGACTATATGTATTAAGGGATTAAGTTTGTATTGTTTTTATCTTAGTGAGTTATTCTATTGGCGTCGCTATTAAATTTTGACCGTTCCGGAATTTAACTAAGTAGACCACTGGTTTCTTTGTGGGTATGATCAAGGGACCTTAAAACTAACAAAAATTATTCGTACACATAAATAGACAACTACAGGGACTGTACAAATACAAATCAACCGAATGTGAATCTTAGAGAAAAAAATGAAGACGAATACGCTCCAGTATTTATATAGTAAATGTGCTTCATTTAAAAGCTGTGGGGGTTGCTGCGTTTCTCGCGTCCTGACGAGTAAATATGGAGCTATCCCCACATTACTGTTTAATTCTGAGAGTTTTATTATTTGGTCAGTTTTTCCAGTTACAAACCCTTAACTAACTTGTATTCAAGCAGGACAAAACCTTTTCATCTGGAAGTCGCTGGAACGCATTGATAAGGGAACCAAAGGCGTGCTTATAGTTAAACCCCGAGATATATATAATTCAGCGCTTCAGGCCTGAAGGCCCATGGCTTCTATCTTTTTGACAACTTCTTTCCACGCTTTTCTGTTTTTGGTCTTTTCCTCCCAGTCTGGTATGCCTAGTCTTTGTATATCCTCTTTGACACTTTCCAGCCACTGCTTCTTCGGTCTTCCTCTTCTTCTTCTACTACCTTCTCCTCCAAACAAAACTTTTTTGGCATTCCTATGAGACGGCATGCCCACTTAAAACCTGTCGAGCTAAGTCGCATACAGCCAGTAATTATTATCTACCGTCAACCTACAGAGCTTCATCCAAATCACTCAAGTAAATTAGGTTAGGTAAAGAAATGAAGTTCAGTCTCAGTAGCGACGCTCTAAAACACGTAGGTTCACCTGTACGTTTTTGGTCAGTTTGACGAGGTCTACCAAGAAATAATTTAATACACCTGAATAAGTATACTCATAGAAAACCAAATGTTAAAAAAATTAAAATCGATTGAAAATCAAAAGGCATACAAAAATTAATAGCTAAGCTGATCTAATCTCAAAAATCCATTTAGAGGATCTGGGCCTATGGGTTTTTGTATTTTTACGCCAATCGAACCTCCACTATCCTTTTCAATACGACTAGTTGGGGTAAATTATTTAGTGGATAAAACTACATATTTGATTCTCGTTTCAATCAGCTTCTAACATTTTAGAGTCATCATACATTGTTGATTTTTGGAATTTTGACGTTCAGCTACAGTACCCTTATTATTTTCTGCATGAAAATTATGTTCTACTGTTTGTTTTAATACACTATACGTATAGAAAAAACAACTGACAGATTTATACGAGACATAAACTTCTTATTCACCAGCATGCTAAGATGTGAACAGCTTTCGGTAATTGTCAAATACCAGTATGGTATTTACAACAAATTGCTATTGCTATCTACATACAAACTTTTAATTCGTCCACTATTGGCAAAACCTGTATGTCTGCGAAATTTCTAGCTTTTTCCGAAACAAATCTGCTTACTTGAAATAAAGAACATACTTCACGTAAGCAGAGCGTTTCTCACCATTGGGATCTCGGAAGCTGTAAGAGATACGAAGTCGCTTAAATGGGGGCAAAGCCATTAACATTGCCTCTCTCTCTCCTCTACAATACGGCATAATTAGAATTTCAAAATGACGTTTCGTCTCTTGTCCTCCAGCATCAACTAACACTTTCTTATGGATGCCATATTGAATACTTACACATATGAATAGAGCTTTTAATTCTCATTCAAAAAATGTATGTATAGTACTTCATACATTGAAATTGCCAAACCTTAGCTACTTAAAAAAGCAGAATCGCCTAGGTAGGCCTTGAAATAATCAGATATCCATTTGTTTCGTATATCAGATTTATCCCAAAGTTATTTTTCCTGACGTTATTTTAGATGAGATTTCAAAATAAATTGCATGTTGTCATGGTTACTTATTCTCCTCTACAAGATGGCATAGTTAAATTTTCAATTCCCTCTTTCGACTCCTTTGTTTTTTCATATGGACGCTCTACAGATATTGGAATTTTGCATATTCAAATGAACCTTTTTATTGATAATAACAACAGTCATAATCATAAATAAGCAAAGGTACATTGTTCAACTTAAGGTCTGGCCTAGTATACGGAGTATATCAAGTCTGATAATTTCAAGGCCTACCTAGGAACTTCTGGTTTTCTGGAATACTCGTAACTAATGTTTGACAATGTCAATGTATGATATGACATTTTTTTGAAATCAGAATTAGAAAGTCTATTAATTGATAATAAAGTTGATGCTGGAGGACAAAAGACGAAAAATCATATTGAAATTCTAATTATGTCATCTTATAGACGAGAAAAGCAATTTTACTCGCAACATGCAACTTATTTTCGAATCGCTTTTCAAATGAAGGCAGGAACAAAAAAATGTGATCTTGGGATAAATCGGGTATGCGGAACAAATTATTTTCAGGTAATTTCAAGACCTACCTAGAAAATTATTATTTTTTAGATAACTGAGGTTTGGCAACATCAATGAATAAATGAATATATTTTTGAAGTAAGAATTGAGAAACTCTATTGATCCGTACAAAAGTCCAATATGGCATCCATAATAAAAGATAACGTTGCTAAAGGATAAAGGACAAGAGACAAAACGCCACATAGAAATTTCGATAATGCCATCTAGTAGAGGAGAAAAATTTACAATGCAAATGTGCAATTTATTTTGAAACCCCACTACAACTAAAGTCAGGAATAATTTTGGAATAATTCGTTTTCCCTCTCTCTCTCTCCGAAAGTACTTTGAATTTTGAAACTTTCGAACTGATATTTTGATGATTACCTCAATACGCAACTTTGTCTTTATTTGAGAGACTTCGTATCTCTTACAGTTTCCGAGATCCCTATATTACAGATATTGCTTAGGTATATATTTTGTTTTTGTCACACATCTTACGTTAGATAATATACATATCTTCTAACGCTAAATTGGCGGCCTATTTTGAATTTATTTTTCTTATTAACAGTATGCTGGAGAATGGATGGGACACGTAGCAGCTGGAAATCCCATTTTTCCAATCAATCCATGCCTAACGCTAGAAATTGGTGAAAATGATGCTGATAAGGTCAAGCTAGGCTTCAAAACTGGCGAGTAAGTATCAATTTGTTACGCTTATTCCGCAGTGTCGCGAAAATATATTATCTTCTTCATCTTGCACATACGATACCTCCTAGACACCACCTAGCAACCTAAAAATACAAATCTATTGTATTTCCTAACGGTGGACCGGGGGCTGTGAAAGTTGAGCGCTTCTGTAGATTCAACTGTTTATAACCCAACAACTGTTTATCAAACGTTATAGTAGGTTATATCAATCTTTTTCCTTTGAAAGTGTCCACCTGATTATGCGATATAGCATGAGGCATCCAGTCGCTATCTGATAACTTTTACGCGAAACCATGGTATATGCGCATCAATTGGATCACATAAAATTTTGACAGTCTATCTCGGTCCATGATCCGATTGTAGTTACCGGTTGTACTCTTTCACATCATGCACATCATTAATGGTTGTTCAGAATGGAGGAACTCGCTAAAAGCATGAACAAGCTTTGACTGTATCAATCCCAAAAAGCTTAAACCCGCTGAATTCAACTACCTTGGACCAGTTTACTACCAATTCTGTCTAAAATACTGGAGAAGCTGGTAAATTGCAACTAACCGTTAATTTTTAAAAATACTCAATAAATCCGGATACCCAATCTGACTTTAGACAAAATTATACTACAACATCAGCGCTTTTCAATTTGCAAAATAATATTTTAGGAAACTACAATAAGAAAAATGATTTAACGCTAATATCTACAGGTTTCGCGAGAGCATCAATCCTGAACTAATGATATCTGAATTAAATTACATAGGATTGATAGCTTAGATCTTTCATGTTTCAGGAGTTACCTTGATCAAAGGGCCCAATATGTTTGCACTGAGCACAACATTTCTCCTGTGACGATTCCTTCATGCGTGCCCCAAGTCTCTCTGTTAGGACCGTTATTATTTCTGATATATAATTTTGACTTGAATAAGATTCTTGATAATTCACATATCCAACTTTTCGCAGATGAAACACAATTGTTACACTATTTTAACTCCCAGAAGGTCCAAGATATTGTATAAACTTTACAAAATGAGGTTCAAAGTTTAGTACAACATTCGTCTGATCATAATCTAGTTTGCAACCCTCAAAATGTATTTTTTTGTGCTTAAAAAAAGAAGATTGACTTAATGTCATTCTTGAAGGACCAAATAAGTAATAAAAACATACAGTTCTCTGAATCTGCAGAAATGCTTGATGTTGTTTTTGACACAAAAGATCTATCGAAAATGTCTAAAGTCCTTCCCAGAAAACTTATATGATGCTTCGTACTCTAATTGTAAACAAATATGTACTAAATTCCAAGATATGTAAAATATTATGTGAATCCTTGGTCATGTCTGTAATACAGTATACTGTTCAAGTTTAAACAGCTATGGTATACCAAAAACCAAATTCGATTGATCCAAAAATAACTGTGTTTGTTTTATTTATGGCCTCCAGATATTTGATCATGTATCAGCAAAATATCCAATACTCAATTAAATGATTTGTTTTCAGTTTGCACCCATAAATTATTACTTACCTTGAAAGTGCCCTACTTGCGAAAAAAATCATTTAACAATGATATTCATTCTAAACCGCTTGAAGATAAAATTATCAGGATTCCTCAGTATATATAGTTGCCATCATATACCGTTTACCAAAATTGCCTAAGCAATACTCATTGTCAGATTTCCGACAAAAAGTGAATGTCACTTTAATTACTTGATTAAACAATCACGCTTTTTTCTTTCTTAACCATATTTTTATTTTTCTACTTTTTGGTGTACCTTGCTTTGGAAAGTATGCTAGTTTTCGACTAATTATAATAATTTATTACTAGAAATTAAAATTTTTTGTCAATAAGATCTTTAACATCTATTAGTAACTTTCATGGTGGAATGGCGATTTTCAAGTTAGTTTTCCATATCTCGTGGAAATTGGAATTTAAATTAGAGGATATCAAGTTTCACTTAACATATCCTGCATAATGTTATAAATATTATCAAGTTGACAAAATGGTCAATTTACAACACAACATCCATGTCAGGATTTTCTATCAACTGTAATCGAACACAGCAGTGCCATAAGTCATACTACATGGAAACAACGTCATTTTAGAAAAAAGGTAGAAGCCTCTTAAAAGTTACATATGTGGTATAAAATGCTCAGAAAGCCAGCAGCTATTTTTTATATTTGTAAATTGACCACTTTGTTGTTGCAGAGGTAAGGCCGTCATCGAAGGGGAAGTAGTCAGCTCCTCAGGAGGAGATTTTAAAACCGTTTTTGGCGGAAAAAGTAAGTTTTATCATAGCCATTTTGCAATAATTTGATACAATCTTAAAAAAAGTTGAGACTTAATTGTTATCCTTAGTGTCAGATACAATATTATTGCTGGATAATTCTTCTATTTGTTTTTCAGAACTGTTATATAAAGTCTTGGCCACAGATTATAAAACTCATGCAGTCATATATATGTGCGACGAAGATACTGGAAATGGTGAGTTTCATATCAACTAAGACTTCTTCAAAAGCCCTATAAAACACAAGTATTCAAGAATTATTGAGAATTGAATGTCACAGTCATTTTTCTGTCCATTCTTTTTGTCTTATACTTATACATACGTGGATGGTACTACTTGCCATCGTATTTCCCTGTACATACAATTTAAGAAATTTTAGGTGAACACCTTGCATTCATAAGCAAGACAAAAGTGGCATGAGCAACCTAATATGTAATAGACAATTTGGATAATTAAAGCTAGTAAGGTCTCTGTTAGGCTTGCTAGCCGTTATTTACGTACCTTTTGTAAAGGAATTTTCTCTTTGCATTACTGAAAATCAACTGTGCAGCCTTAAAATTATAATGAAATCATTACACACTAAGAGCATAGAATACTATAATGAAGCCGTTCAATCTAGTATCCTCGAAAACTTAACAGATTATCTCAATGCGACTTACATCCAAATGGCAAAAGTGATCTGCAGTTATGGAAGTAATAACAAATTTTGACTAGTCGCGTTTCGATTAAAATAATGTACGCCTGTCTTTTTGTTTTTTAACCAGTATACTCCTTTTCAGGCAATATTGCAGTTCATATGAGGTCTAGGTCGCCTGATGCTACACTATTGGAAGAAAAGTTGGCTGCTGCACAGAAATTGCTGTCCAAACCTCTCAGCCCGCGAACAGAGTCGGATCACAGCAAGTGCTAAGATTCGTTTCACTTCCGATAGTAGTAGTAGTAGCAGTAGTAGTATTAGTAAGGAAATCGAAGAAATATAAAATCAAATAAATGCCTTCGTCATATTTATTATTTGATTTATGTATTTCATACTGCCTTTATATTCCGATTTCCAAAATAGACAGTCATGAACTTTAAATACGATTTTTCAATAAACTCCAACCCCTTACATTTTATCCACATGGCAAGTAATTAAAAAATTACCCCCTATTGAGCGGTGGCGTGGCAAACGCTTGTTCCGGAAATTGTTTTATTCAGTATACAACTTCTTCCCGTTCAAGCGATTGTACACGCGTTAAGGAATATCTCAGTACCGATTGTCGGGTAGCAGTACAAGTCCGCCAACGGGCCACATTAGGTCTATGTAATATCATTAAATGCAGTCGGTTATCTTCCAAAACAAAGAAATTAATTATGATGGATCCTTCAGCACTAAGAATTCCGGACGTGAACTCACTCCACTCTTGGAATGTCCGGATGGAGGGTGAGCTCGAGGAAACTACATCAAAGATAAAATTTGTTTTACGAACATCTGCGGGATTAACAGCAACATTGATGCTGTTTATCACTACCTACAGTCCAATCGTCCCGTCATGCTGTTATTGGCGGAGATAAAAATCTCAGAGTCTGCACCGATTAACCATCTTAGCTTCCCAAATTACGAGGTGCACTCCAATCTGAGAAAGAACGGGGGAGTTGCGTTTTTTTTCCGCTCCAGAGATGTTTCTTTGGGATCAGACCGAAAGGAAACTCTGTGGCTTCGCTTCAGCTCCAAAATATCATCCAAATTTATTTGCTGCCTTTATCGCCCTCTCTCTGACCATAACTGGGACGACCTCCTTGAATACCTCGCCGTCAACATCGACTTCCTGAACATCAACCATAATGAGCTTGGGTTGGGCCCAAACAAAACCGATGCAGCAGGTCGTGCAGTCGAAGCGTTCTCTCTTACTCAGCGGCTGACCCAGCCACATGCCAGTAGCCTGCTATATCTCCTTCTGACCACGCATCCTGTCCCTTACAGCGCTGCTGTCCTGTCTCCACTGGGTAACTCAGACCACGGTGTTGTGGAGTTTAGGTATCGGTCAGAACCCTCTGTGGCAGCAAAAACTCGTACTATAGGCCACAAAACTTGGCATTACGGACATGCCGACTGGGAGGGGCTCAGAGACTTCTTCTCCACCTTTCCTTAGAGAGATGTCTGTTTCACTGACGCGGATGCGTCGGCTGTCTGTTCTTCGATAAACGAAATTATCCACGTCGAAATGGAGGAATACATCCCTCACACAGCGAAAGTGCCTAAATCAGGGTCCAAGGCACACATAACCAACTTACAAAACCCCACTGTAGAGAACAGACAAGCCGACGTCGAGTCCAGAAACAAATATGACGAAGCGGTTTGCAATGCCGAAAACCAGCACGATATAAAAGTCAGGCAGAGGGTAGTGTCGCAGCGCAATGACAATCGGTCTTTTTGGACGTTGGCCAAGCAGATTGAAAATAACTTCTCACACAGTAGTCTTCCACCACTTACGTGTTAGGATGGAATGATTGTATCCGACTCAAAGGCCAAGGTAAAAGTGCTTGCCAAGATCTTTGCTGCCAACTCCACCATGGACGTCTCCCTCAACCCAAAGACCAAGTGCCGTCAATCCAAAGGGTTCCCTACACTATGCGGGAGGTAACATTCAGACATAAGACCGTAAGACAAGTGTTCTTGTTGCTCGACATCAACAAAGTTTCTGGCCCGGACTTGATTCCTGTCATTGTGCTGAAGAGTGTGCAGTGGAGCTTGCTTCAGTTTATTCGCGTCTCTTCCAGATATCTTATGAATTCGGCACCGTCCCAGAAAACCATCCCAAAAAAAGATCTAAGAACAACCCTCACAACTGCAGGCCTATAGCTCTGCTTTCTGTCATAAGGAAGGTGATAGAGAGGTCCATAAATCGCGAGCTTCTGGACTACCTCGAACGTCACAGCTTGACTAGCGACAAGCAGTATGGTTTTACGTCATGCAATTGTGGAGTAAACCCCTATGGTGAGGATCATGTCATTGCTCTTGACATCACGAAAGCGTTCGATCAGCTGTGGCACGCAAACTTCCCTTCTATGACTTCCAAGAAAATCTTTGCAGATAGGTGGCTGACTTTATCTCTGGCCGCAACATACCTGTCGTAATTAACTGGTTCTCCTCTTCATCCCACAATGTCAACGCGGGTGTTCCCCAGGGATCGGTCTTGGCTCCGACACTGTTCCTCTTACACATCAGCGACCTCCTTTCCTGCATGATCGTATTCCGCAGTATTCGCAGCACATCGAGTCGCTCCCCTGGAACTTCGTCCGGAAGATATGCTACGCATGTATGGGGTTTAGGAAGATTACCCCCCTTGACAAACTTGACCTTGGCGCCTTCCCAAGGCTGGAGGTGCTTTGCCGCAGCTTTAAGCCAGTTCATGCTTTATTTGTCCAGACTGGTGATTTGTAGCCATCCAGGTCTGTGGGCACAGTCCTGGAACTTCACCTGTGTGTTCCTGTCTCTAATGCGAGACACAGCTACCAATATCGCCTTTTGAAGGGCAAACAATTGCTCCTTGGTAAAGACGTCGGAGCCTGCCCAACACTTCTCAGCTTTTTCGGTACCTGTTCGGGAGTGCTACCTTCCGAATGGGGCCGCTTGCTGCAGCCAGCAATGGGGACGACTTCACGCGCTCTCTGTTCCTACCTGCTGCAGTTGCAGTTTTTCCCCTTGTCATTCGCTGATACCGCTTTTGAAAAGCGCTGTCAGGCTCCTTGCACCCGGAAACCTTTTCCAAGGATTTTTAGCCTGCCACCTCTGGCAGAGGGGGGTTCAATAGTTCCCTCTCCTGTTTAGAGATGACAGACAGTGAAGTCATTTCTAGACTCCTGTTAGCATGGGTCACCTCGCCCTGAGGAGCCTCTGTCAGAGTATGATCCTCTGAAGCCCCAGAGATGCGATTCTTCTCCCTGCTATGATGGAGATGATGGCCACACGCCAAACTTACTCCGGAATTCGGCCCGGTGTTCCGGAGGGTCCGTTCACGATGACGATTGCCCCCGACACCATTCATAATTCTTCTTACGCGAGGGATCCATCATCATTAATTTCTTTATTGGGGAAGCCTGGAAAAAGCTAGCGGGTGGTACCGCCTCGGTCGACTGGACTTTGCCTACCACCTTTTGCGCATATTAATGATGTTAAATATACCTAGAGTGGCCCATTGGTGGAATTATCCCGCCACCCGGCAATTGAACTCTTCCAGAACAAGCATTTGCCATGGCCCCGCTCAGTAGGGGATGGTGACTAGGGAAGAACGTAGCATTTAGAGAGATTCAGAGGGAAGAGCCAAAGTTCTGACCACTTTCCAATAAGTATGAGTTCTGTCCTCGGTTTCGGTATCGAATGATCTTATAATCCTCCATGTTCCTCTAGTCGCAAATGAAATCTCATATGCCATTAGTGTCTACTGATGACGTTCCGGCAATCACGATGGCGTTTTCAAGTAAACACACAAGCTATTTTTTTGAGTTTCGTGGTGTTACAACTTAAGCGACGATGTCTCAAATTCCAATTATGTTGGAATAACAATACTCGCCTTTACATCATTAGCGTTCCATCGAAATATCAGCACCCCACTTCCTGCTCGTATGGCGCGACACGTAAAACTCTCCTGACTGTATCCTGCGGTGACCTTATTACCTGGATCTTTACCTTCCTCCTCAATACCGTTAAACTGCATGTAGGATTTTGGATACCACAATATAATTTCAGACACCTCGCCAAAAACTGTTTTAACGACGGAGTGACGGTACTCTTCTATAGTCCATATCATTTCGCCACTACCTGAATGCTTTTTGAACCACCTTGGGCACTACTGCGACGTTGCAATTCAGTATTTTTGGATGGCAGAAAATATAAGAAGTATGGGCAAGTTGGATCACTTATTTTACTACACAAACACAGACTCCACAATATCCTAGCGTCGGATGGTAATTTGTCCTATCCAACAGTAACCAAGTAAATTAAAAAGAGAGTACAGGTATGTTTGGGTTGAGCGAATAAAGTCGTCAGGGGTTTGGTGATCCACAATTTGCAGGGAGGACAAAGCATCATTTTTCAAGATTTGTCTATCAGGTTTATTTCTTGAGACTATAACTTGTACTTTATGATCCAACATCAACTCCAAATGTTGTAGCAGAACCGGTAGAGTAGATGTTTTTTTGCAGTATATCGTGTCCCTCCTACTCAGACTGAGCTAATCACATATCAATAAACACTTTTTTGAAACCAAGTACCAATTAGAAACTTGATTTTCCTTCTCTCCCTCCAACCAAAAGATCAGCGAAATATCACGCATATTATAGAGTGCGGAGGGCTTGGGAACCAACTATCCCCGAAAGGTGGAGTTCAACGTGAGTAGTCGATGAAAACCTAGAGTGAATCACGATCTTGGAGTCTAATTTTTATCAACTAAGATACACTGTAGCTCCTGAAGTACCGATCCTGATCCTACAATTAGAGTGTATGACGTATAATAATGATAATAATAATAATGTCTTTATTAATCCATCCACACTGCGAGGCGAAGTTTAGCCAGCTGGCTACTCTACCACTTAACCTCATCTTTTTTTGTAAAAATATGGATTAGTGATGAAGACGGAATTATAACAGTAGTGTACGAGTTGCAACCAAAAAACTGAAACATTAGGGCAGCTCAAGAAATTGCTGTAACCTACATGAATTATTTGGTCTGGTTTCAAACTGAAAACTCCGAATATCAAGTGAATCCCGTGTTGGTACTTTTAATTGACAAAATATGTGTCTAATAGGTGCGTAAAATTGGGATACAATTCTTTACCCCCTGCTACCCCTCAGCTTTAATTTTTCATTCACTCAAAAAACTATTTTCGTTTTTCATCCCGTAGCTCCACAACTACTAGCTTGATGTTCAGAACCTACAAGGCTTCTTGTGTCAAAATTCCATCCAAATCTGAGCGCTACAAAAGTTATAGAGAAGACAGACAAACGGACAGACTGGCTAATAGAAATGCCACTCATCGTCACATGGTTTATCGTTATGTACATGTCATGAATCTTCCAAAAAGTATAATATGTTTTTCGAATTTTTCATGAATATAATACTTCCTTGCAAATTGG